TTTATTTTGCTTTTTTTTTTTTTGTTTTTTTTTTCGCACTCTGGTGGCGATCAAAATTAAAAATTAATGCGAAAAATGGATTCTCTGACCCAAAAAACCCCCGTATACACATTTTCAATAATATTTTTTTGTCTTTGAAATGCATCTAAGAGGTCGTTTATTTGGTATTTTTGAAAATATCTACCAAAAAATTTTGGCAGGCTCGAAAATGATTTTAGAGGTATGGTTCCTTGGGCGAAAATGTTTGTTATGGTCCATAGTACCAGAATCGCAAGGATATGAATCAACTTTTTTAATTGACCCACCCTAATGTACATACAAATGTATTTGAACTCTTTTCTCTCTTGCGGTGTAGGAAGTTTAGAAAACCTTCTGTATTCTTGGAACCGGAACTAAGTACATATGTAGATAAGTATTTTAATGCGGAAGAAGCCGTTCTATAAATGTCCTATAACAAAGCGAAAAGCGAAAAATCTAATCGATCATGTTGTGATAAACGGAATGCTGCGACTCTGTGCAGCAAAAAATGTGCGTCCTGCAATGCAGGAAAGCTCAATGTCGAGGAGCTGCAGTTACAACAGACGGCGAGTTAATTCGGTACTCGACTCTGACAACTTCTCTCAAAGAGCCCACTTTAATAAATAAATATTTAATGTTCATATGTACATATGTATATGCGAGCAGTTAAACCACATTTCCCGCTCATTACGTACCGCCGCCGGAGAAGTAGCCCCCACTGAGATAGAAAGACCAAGTCGAGAAAGACTTGGCTTCTCTTGGCATTTCCAATTGGCGTCAGTTGGCGCAGAACTTTGTTTGCTTTGTTGAACTCAGCCAAAATCGCTTAGGTGGTTACAGCGCCAAATAAGAAGAAGCACTAATAGAGCAATTAAGAATTCAAAAGTTTGATTTGAATCCATTTTGAGTGCATATCCTTGTTTGTGAGAAACAGGACTTCGCGTGCTTCTAACCATTTTGGATTTTTTATTATGGCCCATTGGCTGAGCTCAAACGTATAGTTCTAAAGCGGTTGGTTGTTTGTAACGACATGTTCAGAAAAATTATTGCCGGTACACCTGAACTGTAGAGCTTCTCTATGCTACACTTCCTTTTTATTGTGAATAAAACCGGTACGATATGTGGATTGTGTCCCAACATTTAATTGGGTACGAGATGGTATTATTGTTAAACGACTTATATGAGTCAAAATGTACATAAATATGTAGTAATGTTGTAGATAAGTCTGTATTTTGGAAAAGGCCGCCGCAACCTTATGCTGCCCTAGAAGGGATGTTGATTTTTTTTAAGAGAAGTTCTTTTGTAAAAGAAACGCACTTCCTTAGATGACTGCATTTTCTTTTGATCTGTTTAAATTCTAATAAATTACAATTACAAAAAAAAAACTTTCTTTACCAACTAAGTCGCGTATTTTTTGAAATCTGTAATGCGTTTATTCTTAGTGGTTGCTGCTACGTGCTGTCAAAACATTTTCCACACAACCACCCACAGCGCATTTGCATAACAATACCACTCGATCTAAACATGCATACATAGATATGTATTTATCTACACTGAGAGAAATAATGCATAGTAAAAATTAATACTTTATATTTGATTTTCATTTAAAAATGTTCGTATTTAAAAATAATACTCGTAAAAGCCTCGTAAACCTCGTAAAGCTCGTAAATTTACGAGCCTCGTAAAAGAACTGTCAAAATTTGTATGGAGCTCTATTTACGAGCCCCTCGTAAATTTACGAGGCAAATTTGATGCGCAAATGACGTCGTAAACTTCAGTGCTGCCGAGGGGCCGAAATTTTTATACTAAAGTGTATGATAAAATAATAAAAAATATCTGAAAAAAAATAATACGCGAATAAAATGAATGAATTTCATCAACTAACAGTATTGACTTAGGTTTTCCGCTTGTTTTCGGCATTTTTAATTGTATTTTAGCTAATAGTGATAGAGAAAAGATGGCGGGATGTTATGGAAAATACTACGATACAAAAATTGCTTCACAAAATCCTGGTTGATCTGTCAAACAGTCACTTTACGCATCTATTTACACCTTTTCACAAGGGGGGGCGTTCCCATAAAAGCCTCGTAAACGTACGAGCTTTACACGGTTTAAGACTTAACGAGTTTAAGGGAATCCCTTAAATATTTTCATACAAAATTTATTACGCACGTATTTGACTGTTCACATCTGAGTATGTATGAGTGTACATACGCACCCCAAGCATGCAGAGCGCCGCTCTGAGAGCGGTGACAACATACACATTCATATGTACATAGTACAGTTTATCCGTACAATGAGCGTGCTGTGGTGTTGATGGATATTCAACATTTGAAAGCAAATTTATATGCCTGGGTGTAGCTGAGTGCGCAAAGATGCTTGCCACAAGTTGTTGATATCCGGAGATGGTCGGGTTCGAATTCCACTCCAGGCAACATGCAAATTAAATATTTTTCTTTAGTTTTTGTCTTGATTATTCACTTCACGGATGCTTTTTTCAGAACGAACGCGGTCATTTTGATATTCGCGTAATTGTATTGAATATTAACCAATTTACAGTACTTTCGTTGACGTTTATAGTAATATCAATTACGTTTCTATTTGATTTTAATATTTTTTTCCCTCAGTGTATGTATCTTCAAAGATAATCACATGTTTGTGCTTCTCTTCGCATACCTTTTACTTCATACACTGTGCGTACTGTCACTAAAATGTACGGCTGTTAGAGGAAGTGTATACATATATATGTATATATGTATATGTACTTGTATTAAATTCTTATGACCTGACCTGCCCTGCACCTCCATTGTTGACTTGTAAATGTTGATAGGCATTTGACTTGTGAAAAAGTGTTGTCTCCGCCGCATCTGGTGCATCCATGCCAATGCCGGAGCTGCTGCCCGATGAACTTGTCTCGACCTTGGCGTCAGCATCGTCATTGCACAAATTGACCGAGGCTGTGCTGTCATTGTCTATGCAAGGTGTTAGCGGATGTGAGAAAGTGACCGGCGTCGAAGTGCCATTTGTGGTGGATAGTAGCGGACAGATGGAAGATTCTTCTTCTGGGAGAAATGTCGACACTGAAGGTGATTCCATAAGCGTTGTAGGCATTTCCACGCTGAGCAATGTGGGATCGGTGGATATACCCATGGTGTTCATTGCTTACGTGAATGCGGCCGAGTGTGTGTGAAGCAGTATTTAACCGATTTTTTCTTTGACGAATTTGAAAAAAGAAAAAGTGCTAATTACGATGTTTTTTTCCGTTTCACGCAAATATGTTAATCATTGCTTAACTGCTGTTAATTGGCACAACAAAATATTTTGCCTTCGATATGTCAAATTGCACGTATGTATGTGTATTTATATATGTATATATATATATATATATATATATATATATATATATATATATATGTATATATGTATGTAGTGGTGTAAGAGTTTACGTTAAATACGAAAAATTCTGTTGACACAATGACTTCGCGGCGCAATCTCTCGTCACAAACTGAATTCTTTTCTACTCACAATAGTGCCGTGTAGAACCTAAGTGGATGAACAAATGAACCAAGTGTGATTTAGTTTATTTATATCATACATGTACATGTCTACGTATCGACACAGTACCAATGGATAATTGAAAAACGCAAGCAAAAACAAATTCAAAGCATTTCAATCCAGTACACGTAAATATACAAACCACAAGCCCAATTAACATTTGGGTTTGACATCGACAATTTCTCAAAGATGGGAAAAAATTATGCCACGCAAAAAAATAATGATAATGTTAGTGGTTAGGTCAGTCTGGATATAAAGTGAAGAATAACTCTTGCCAACAGGTGCTACTTTGGGCTCGGTAGGCAATTGAAAAGCAAAGCCCTCTCTCGGGGAACAAAAATCACGCTCTATAAATCTTACATCATGCCCGTTCCTTTATCTGGTGCAGAAACATGGAAGGTGTCTAACAAAGATGAGAAGGCTTTGGGAGCTTTTGAGAGAACTACGCAAGCTCTATGGCCCGTTCGCGTGGGCGACGAGTACCCAAGAAGATAGAATGAGGAACTGTACGAGCTTTTTGACGACACGGACATAGTTAAGCGCATAAAAATACAACGCTGGCTTCGACATGTACGCATGGATAAAGACGCTCCGCTGAAAAGATCCTTCTACTGCACACCCATGGGTGGACAACGAACGCAAGGGTGCCCTCGAACACAATGGAAGGACCAAGTGCAGAAAGACCTGTCCGCACTTGGGATGAAAAACTTGCGCGGCCCTGGTTATAGGCCCCTCCATAGTCATAGTAATGGAGGGGGTTATGGAAATGGCAATGGTAATACGAGATGGTAATGGTAATGGTGAAGGTAATGGTAATTGTAATTTTAGTGGAAAATGAATTGTTGCAATTGTTGGAACAATGATAGATGTGTTGATAATGGCAGTGGTTAAGTTGAAGGTAATGGCAATTGTATTTGTTGTGGTAATGGCAACAGTAGCGGTACTGGCAATGGTAATTGGTTATGGTAATGACCAGGGAACGGATTTTATGGAAATAGACTTTTTTGTGCTCACGAGATAGAGTATACTCGATTAAGAATTTCCACGATTTAGCTTTCCCTAAATCCATTTGATGTTGCCTTTTCTAACTTTCAGTTGTAAAGCGCAGGGAAAAAACCTTTATTCTTGATAATATGAAAGTTTAAACGGACCACTTGTGCACTTGTCCTTGAAACGAGTTCTGAGATAGGGCGTTCTTCAACCAAATTCTGAGATAGGGTGTTTTTCAATAAGATACTGAAATAGGACGTTTTTAATCAAAGTCTGAAGTACGGTGTTCTTGAAAAGTTCTTTGAGATATTGCGTTTTCGAACTGGCTGCCTAGATAGGTCGATCTTACACTCAGCAACCGATATAATGTACAAGAATTCCATTCGGTTAATCTACATACATACATAGCTGAAACCCACAGAGAATTTCCTATGTAAGCTATAGTAGGTCTCAAGTCCTTTTTGGAGGTTTTGATTTTTTTATCCTATACATAGTTTGCTGCTTCCTAAGCCTTAACATTTCCTTACCCGAAATATCTCCTTCCTATAAAGTGAATAGGGAGAAAGCTACTCACATATCGTCGGTGATTCGTTTGTTAGGGCGTAACGATTTCCAGATGCATTCCGGTGCAAATAAGAGACCGTTTTGGAGTATTACCGACGATATGTAGCTAACTCACGACCTCCGGCATGATGGATAGTTCCACTACAGGGCGCAGCATTATCTTTTTTTCAGTTTTTTGTATAGAAAAATTACTACATATTGTTCGCAAAAGTTGAATTGAAAATAATATTTTATATGGAGTTACAGGGTATGTATGTTTGTATATACATATCTTATAAGATCCAAAGTTGCAAAATGATGCCCAACTTGTTCTACAGTAATTAAGCTTAATAAATTTGTTGTAAACTTTTTGATCAATCTGAGAGGCAGAACTCAGTCGCAAATGATCATAAATACAGTGCACGCGTTGGTAGGTATGTACGTATAACCTCCTAAATATATTTACATTTTAAATGAAATATGAAGACACACTCTTTTCTATTCGATTTGTCATGCTACAAGCGAATGTTTGTTATGAATACTTTGCCGTTTAAAGTGGAGACCGCGTAACCCAACACCGCATAAGTTAAAGACAAATACATACATATGTATGTACAAATATTTTTGCCACATATGTACATACATGAATATGCAACTGCCCTTTAGGAAATTTTTGATCGAAATATAACATTTAACATTCGCAAATAACTTTGGATTTTTTGTGATCTATGGAGGGTTTTTTTTGTCTGTAAATGGGAGCCGAAAGATGCGTAGTGCCTTATGTTTTAAGTAAATAAATTACCATCTGAATTCTGGAGGTTGCTTCAAAATTTTGGTACTTCAACCATTTGTCGCCATTTGGGTCAAGACCAAAACACTTAACCAATTGCATCTTTCCTTTGCGAATTCTCGTGTTCATTCCCCTCTTTCGTTATTAACAGTGTTGCCAGAATATTTTTGTACCCCATTCCCATATCGGGCCGCAGTTATCCCCAAAAAAATCCCCTTTAGTAAGAAATAAAAAAAGCATGTATTCACATTTGTGTTAGTTCATTTTAATACAGTTTTCATTTTAACACAGTTTTCATTATAACACAGTTTTCATTTTATTACAGTTTTGAATACTTTTCTCTACACATTTTCACAAATTTATATATGTATATGTACGTATGTACATATATGCATGAGGTCATTTGGTTATACGTACAACTATGGTCAGAGGATGGTTTTTACAACATATGTTTATTTATTTATTTTAACTAATTTTCTTTTAAAATATAATTCAATCTACAACAGAAACAGCATAAATAAAAGTTTAAAATCAAAAAGTAATCAAACTTTTTTAGTGTAATAAAGTACAAGTCTCAAATAGCTAAAGAATACCATTTATTTTTTTTGAATTTCTTTCGTGAAGGTTGTTGCGAAAATTGTTTGTTCAGCCAATCAAAGCAGACATCTGCGCCTGCGAATAATGCTTTGACGGCATAAGGAAAACCTTACAAACATATCGCGCAAAAAGTATGTACTAATAAAATCTTTATTCGCGAAATTTTTATGGGCAGCCAGAAAAATATATGTTTTAATTTCAATATCAAAGTTTTAAACCAAACAAAAATCCCCATAAAATCCCCACATCCCCAAACGAAAAAACCTATCCCCAAATGGTTTCATAAATCCCCAAAATGGGGCAAAATCCCCACATCTGGCAATTCTGGTTATTAAAATATCTTCATTAGTTCAAAAGTTATGAGTTTTGCAACGAAAAAAGTCAAAAGGCGCCAAAGTGCAGCAGCTCCATTTTTGGCAAATTTATGTTTTATTACGTTTAAACTAAACATGCCAAATGTGAAACAAATCAGAGCATAAATACGGTTTAAAAGATATCAACCCTGGCGCCACCTAACAGACCATTTTTGGCAAAAATGTTTCTGCTTACATAGCCAGTATATATTGTAAATATCATCCAGTGACGTCTTTTACGGCGCAAATTCGGTTTCATAATTGCGGTGGCAGATAGAATGTGCCGCCGGCTTTTGTCGTTCACACTGGGTAATGAGTTTCAGTCATAATTCGCCGCCGGAAAAGAAGTTCGAGGCAACCAATGGCCTTTTTATGGGCACTTGGAGCGCACTTACGAACCTTGTCCCATGGGATTTGGTAAAACCCTGGAAAAATTCAGCCTCTGCTAGATCTCAGCATAAGAACATTCATCAAGTTACATGGTAAGACCCCGGAGCGGATGGTAGGCCAGCAAAGAGCTGGTCGCGCGCATGTACCAGCTATTAAGTAGTAGAATCTCATTATACCTTGTCCAATCTACAAGAAGGGAGATCCCTCCGTTTGCTCCAATTATCGCGGAATGAGCCCTCTTCATGTTGCATACAAGGTTCTCTCTGATTGGGCCTTATCAATGTGGTTTCAGACCCACCATTGACCAGATTTTCACAGCACTCAAATTCTGGAAAAGACGCTCGATATGCGAATCGACACACATCATCTTTTTGTCGATTTTTTCGATAGCACGAAGAGGAGTTGCTTGTACAACGCCGTGTCTAAATTTGGGATCCTCGCAAAACGAATACGGCTATGTAGAGTGACGTTGAGCACAACTTTCAGCTCTATCCAAATTAGGAAGGACCTTCGCCTATTGGTACACACGTTACTGTTGGCAGTCATAACTGCAAAGTAGTGAAGGACTTTGTCCGCCTAAGATCCAGCATAAACACCACCAACAACGTGAGCCTGGAAATTAAGCAAAGAATAGCTCTTGCCAACAGGGTACTACTTTGGGCTCGGTAGGCAATTGAAACACAGAGCTCTACAATAGCAAACAAAAATCACGCTCTAAAAGTCTCTAGTCATGCCCGATATTTCATATGACGCAGAAACAACAAAGATGAGAAGGCTGTGGGTGCTTACCGAAGAAGATGGAATGACGAACTGTGCGAGCTTTTTAACGGCATGGCTATAGTTAAGAGCATAAAAATATAACGCTGGCTTGGTAATGTTGTATGCATGGATGACGACACTGGGGTGGAAAGATCCTTCAACTCCGCACTCGTGGGTGAGCATCTAGAGCAAGGGCTCACCGAACAAAATGGACGTGCCAAGTGCAGATAGATTTGTCCGCAGTTGGGATGAACAACTGGCGCAAATTCGGAAATAGAGAGGCAATTGGCGAGGTTGTTTTGTATTGGCCCATTCCGTAAACCGGTTGCAGTGCCAAATAAGAAGAATTATATCGAGCTAAAAGGAGACTATGTTGACAAATATATCTTTCATTCAACAAGTCACGGACTTTTTAAATTGCCCTCACATTATGCAATGATTTTGTTTGATAATAACCAAAAAATGTCTGTCCCCGAAAAAATATA